TAATAGGAAACGCACCTACTGACTTTAGTGTAATGTTCGATCAGTTCAGCCTAATAACATTTTTATACAGAAAAACAGTCATATGATTAATATTAAACGCAAATTATGTTCATCAGTCCTAGACTAATTAAGAATATGATGATTTTATTATTTAACATATTTTATTAATAATTCTAAAAATTAGCTTAAGTAACAATGAGTATTATAAAATTAATCATTATGTATTGCTGTATTAATTCCTGTCCTTCAAGAAAATACCCACACAACAGTCCTTGATTGCATCTAAAAATTACTGAAGAAGGTAAATTCAATTCAAGGCAACTAACACCATGTTCTGAAAATCAGAACATGACTCTAGTGACTCTCGTATATTTTCCTGACTTATCATTTCTAAAACATTTTTTATAAAATTAAAGACATTCACATCCTTCAAATTGCTTTCCCCCTTCATGTATCTCCTATCAAATACATTTGTTCAGAATAGCATGGAAGTTTTTGGTTCTTGGCTTTATGTACCTCATGTAGGGCATATTCCCCTGATTACAGGCACCTGTGCTATTTAGTTGATAAGAGGATTATCTCAGTCTCAATAGATTTCATTCTGTTCCACTCACTCAATCTTCAGATGACTACTATTCATCTATGCAATCAGACTCTTAGAATAACAACATTCAAACTGCCAGATTGGTTGTTGTTTTAATTTTTTAATGACAAGACCTTAAGTCTCTGAATATCCAAGTAATTATATTTTCTTTTTTTCCCTTTTTGTATTGGTGCACAATAGTTGTGCATAATGGTATGGGGTTTTTTGTTATATATTTGTATATGTATATAATATAAAAATATAATTTGGCCAATATAATTTCCCAGTATTTTCCCTTTCCATCCCCACCTCCTCCCTCTCCCTGGTTTCTTTCCATAAGATCCTGGACCCTGATCTTTCTTTTCTTTTTTCCTTTCTAGCTTCCACATATAATAGAAAATATATGACCTTCTGAGTTAGGCTTATTTTGCTTAACAATATTCTCAAGTTCCATCCATTTTCCTGCAAATAACTTAATTTCACTTTTATTTATGACCGAATAAAACTCCATTGTGTATGTATGCCACATTTGTTTATCCTCTCATCCATTTATGGACACCTAGGCTGGATCCATAGTTTGGTTATTGTGAATTGTGTTTCCAAAAATATGGGTATACATGTATCACTATAGTATCCTGACTGTAATTCTTTAGAATAATTACCAAAGAGTGGTATATCTGGGTCATATGATGGCTCTATACCTAGTTTTTTGAGGAACCTTCATACTGAAGGACAATTATTTTCTTTTACATGGAAAGAATTGATGATGGTGATGGCTAATGTTCTTCATATTTTTCAACCTTTTCAGTTGAAAAATTTTTTAAATTTTATTATAATTTATTTTCAGGCATACGTACATAAGAGTGTAGTAGAATAAATGAAGAGAATTATTGATGACAGTGAAATTACTTAGTTTTTAATCTAAGAATCACTATGCACTCAATCTACTCTTAGTAATTACTAAGGTTACTGAATCTAGGTTCAAGAGGACTTTTACAAATGGGTGAGAAAATTTATTCCTTTAAATGTGATTTGGAAAACAAAAATATTGATTGTTTGATAAAAATGAAAATATATTTGTTGTGAATTTGTAACTTTGATCTTTTCCTGGTAACATGGATAGTATCAAACAATTAATTTTGAATATATCAGTTTTCTGACTGATGTATCTATGCTCTATTACCATAATGAAGAGAATAAAAAGGGCACAAAGATTATGGTCACAATATTTGGATTAGAATTTTTAAAGTAGCAAGAAGAAATTTGTACTATAAGTATCATACAAAATATAAGATGCTTTGTTTTGGCCAAATTCCCCAAATGATAGATTAGTATTTACACTGCATTCCTTCTGGGAATTTGATTCTTGATTTCAATCCTAAGAAGTTGTTCTCTTCCTGCATACTCAAATTTACAGGATTAGTCTTCTTAGCAAGATCCAAATTCCTTTTTTAAAAAGTTATTTATATTAACCATCACCAATTTCTCTCTTTACCTTTCTTGTAGCCCATTAGCCACCACAACTGTTCTTCTAAGGTCACAATAACCTCCAACTTGTTACATCCAATGGCAAATTAGCAGGCCTCATCTGTCTTCACTTATCAGCAACATTTGATACAGTGATCACTTTTCTGTGCCTTAAAACCATATACTTGACTTATAAGACACCAGATGTTAATGGTTTTCCTTCTACAATTTTGGCAGATGCTTTTCAAACTTCTTTGCTGGTTTCTCCCAGTCTGTTCATCCTCTTTATGTGTAAAAGAGATTTAGTCTTTAGGCTTTTATTTTCTTACTACATACATTATCTCTTTTGGTGATATCAAATATCTATCATATGACTTTGATTGCCATCTAAACTGACCATGCTGAAGACCTCTGTATTTGAAGCTCAAGCAAGAATCTCTGATTTGAATTAGAAACCCATACAAAATTGTCTAAACAACATCTACATTCAGATGCCTAATGGGCATTTTAAGCCTAACATATCCCAAACTGAACTCCTGATATTCTTTACTAAACCTGTTTCTCTCAGACCCTCAATCTATTTTTATTTTTTTATTTTTTTTCACATTCAAAGCTTTTATTTTGAAAAATAAAATACAAAAGTCATTAAGTTGTAAATGTATACGGTAATTTCCCAACTTCTCAGAAACAATACAATGAATTACTTAAATAATTAAGATATTTAATATTATCCACATCAATACATTTAAACAGGCACAAGTGTTCTACGAAACATTGGACCAAGTACAGACAACCTATCCCAAAATGAAACTGCCCATTTTGCTTACAGAATACCATTTTTAAACCCTCCCCTTGAAAACGAAGTTTGGAAACTGTTAAGAAAAGATGAGGACAAGAGTGGGGCTAACTGAGGGCACTGTCCCCTGGCTCCTTATCCACAGGAGCGGACACCCGCCCTTGGCAGGAGGGGCTGGAGTGCACAGGAGACGGCCGGCTGCCTGGGCTCCGCTGGGCTCCGCTGGGCTCTGCAGCTCCCTGGGGCAGACAGAGCGTTAGGACTCCCGGGCTCCCTGCCTCCTGCCTCCATCCCTGCTCCGGGCAGGCACTGCAGGACTGCCCCTGCGCACCTGCAAGTGACTTCTGTGCAAAGCGCAGAGGCAGCCCTACCCTGGGCACAGCTCAGTGAAGCCACTGAGGGCACCGCATCCAGGGTGCAGCGGTCACCTTGATACCCTGGTCATCTGAGCAGGTGCACACCGAGACCCTGCAGAGAAAGTGCCAGAGAGCATGGGCCGCACCGAGATGTAGAGGGACCCAAGAAACCAGGGACGGGCATGTCCCAGGATGCGCGGCAGCCCCCAGCTTCCCTGAGGGCTGGGCACCCACAGGCTCAGTCAGCAGGCCAGGGTGGAACACTGCCCTGGGCGCCCCAGGGCCGGGTCAACAGGCAACGCCTTCTCTCATGGACCAGCCAGTGGGTCAAGGAGGCCCCTGTGCGTCGGCAGGGCTAGGGTACCACCTGCGGATGCTGAGGCCACCTGGGTGAACAAAATCATCCAGGATGCAGGACAGCGATTGGACATGCAAGTCTGTATGCAAGGGGGCATGCAAAGGGTGTGCAGAGGACATGGTAGGGACACGCAGCATCTGCACCTTGGAAAAAAGGCAACTGTGATTCTAAAACTTATTAACTCAGTGACACAGCAGCGCTCCATAAACACAGCGAACCACAAAGATCTCCCACTCAATCTCTGTTACTTAACTTCAGTTTTCTCATCTACAACAACAGGAATAACATGGGGTAGGAAAGACAGTGGAATGAGAAGGACATCATTACCCAAAATACAAGTATGAAGACACGGATGGTGTGACTCTACATTGTGTACCACCAGAGACATGAACAATTGTGCTCTATGTGTGTACTATGAATTGTAATGCATTCTGCTGTCATATATAACAAATTAAAATTAAAAAATAAGTTAAGAAAACAGGAATAATAGCATTTACCTGCCAGAATGCTTTGAGAACTGAAAGAATATATATATATATAAATAAAACTATATATTATGTGAACATAATTAATAGATAAATAAAAACAGAGTGCACTTGTGGGCTTATGCCTGGTTTGAAGAATGCACTCAGTACATGGTTATTACATAAAGTAAAAATAAAAGCAAAAATCAGGCCAGGTGCAGTGGTGCATGTCTGTAATCCCAGCAACTCAGGAGGCTGAGGGAGGAGGATTGTAAGTTCAAAGCCAGCCTCAGCAACTTAGCAGTAAGATCCTGTCTCAAATAAATAAATAAATAAAAGTGTAAGGGCAATCTTGAAAAACAAAACAGAAGAAAAAAATCTCATACACACATACTCCAAGTCCAGCAGAAAGAGCAGGCAGCAGGGGCAGTGGGGAGAGCCTGGTGACAAGTCAAGAGAAGATGCTCTTTAGCTCTGGGCTCCCTCTTGCTCCATGAGATGACCTAATATCTTGCTCCCTCTGAGATCACTTTCCTCATCAGCAAAAGGTGAGTGGGCTTGTCTGTCTACAGGTCCTCTCCATAGTCATGATGTCAGACCACTTCATCACCAAGGTAACACCTAACTCTATTTGTGTGTTCCTCAAGACGTGAGGGTGTTAAGTGCTACCAGTGACCTCTTCATCTTACAGGTGGCACTCTTTGTTTTTTTTGGTGGTGCTGGGATTGAACCCAAGGCCTCATGCATGCTGGGCAAGCACTCTTACCACTGAGCTGTATCTTCAGCCCTTTGTTTTACAGATGAAAAAACTAGGACACAGTGAGGTTAAGTAATTTGCTCAATGCCACACAAGTGACCAAGGAAGGATTCCAACCCAGGCACCTGACTCCAAAGCTGTGCTCTCCACTTGGTGATGTGGCCTTCTGCGACAGCCCAGGGGGACACCCCAGAACCCAGGAGTGAAGCCCAACCCTCACCTCAAGGTGTGAAGGAGGTTCCAGGCCCTGCTACTCCATAGGCTCCGTCTGGGGTTTTTCCTTCAGAAAGTCAGGTAGCTGGAATTCTCCTTTGTAGACCCTTCTGGTGTTCTCGAGGATCCGGGGGTCGGCTTCCCGTAGTTGGGTGGGTTGGCGTAAGGGTCATACCCCAATTTGGCAAGCATGGGTGCAATCGCTGCCATATCTTGTAAGACATCTGGAGGGATCTTCCCCACCCATTTTGACAGAGCTCCCATATTGACTGGCTTGATGACTTGGTCTGTAGATCTCTCCACTTTTGACAGCGACACTCCCCTGGCCTTCCCGATCATCTCCTCATGGTGCAGCACTGAGTAGTTCCATGGGACGTGGAGAAACTTCAACAGGGTCCTCATCCACCGCTCAGGATGGAGGACGAGCTGCTCGTAGTGGACCAACATGCACTTTTTGTAACCGACCTCCATGCACTGGTTGTACATCGTCTCTATGGCACGATTCCACTTGGCCAAACAGTCCCTGTAGCTGTTCAGGTCAAACCCAGCTATAGTAACTTTCCGAGAAATCATTGAATGCACTGATGCCGGGCCATCTCGAACCATCAGGAGAAATTTGGCATTGGGGAACAATCTGGCAAGGTAAGTTAAGGATTTCAGGGCAAAGGGATCTTTGTTACATAAGTACGGGGCTGGCTCCCCATGCTTCACGATGATTTCTAGTAAGAAGGCTTGCATGGCAGAGTCCAGCACTTCATCAGTGACACCAGCCTCATCCAAGCGGATTTTCTCTTTACTGGACCGCGACCACATCTGCTTCAGGGCCACGATCCGAGGAATGACCCTGGTCTCCTCTCCACAGCCAATGTCAGGGTGTGCGTCCAGCATGGCCCTCATGAGTGTGGTCCCACTCTGAGGCACACCGCCAATGAATATCAAAGGCATATCTTTGTGATAGGCAAAGGTTTTATTGGCTTTAGAGTCCAGGCTAGTTCGCACGGTGGCTTTTGTGCTCTCCAATTTGGCTGGCTGGCTACGTTCCTCTATTCGGTGGTGGCATTCCATGGCATGCTGGCCCAAGTAAAATACTGTCACAGAACTGATCACCAGGCACGCCAATAGTAAATTCTGCTTCAGTTTTCCAACCATCTTGATGTGGTTATCTTGTTATTAAACAAATGCTTTGCTCAAAATGATTTTCAAAAAAAGTTCAGGCCATGGAGATTGTACTTCAGAAAGATGATTAATATCTGTCAGACTGCCCTGTGGATTGCAGACCCGCCAGCCCCATGACAGCATCAGCCGATTCCTTAAAATCCATCTCTCCTGGGCTGGGGATGTGGCGCAGAGGTAGAGCACTTGCTTATCATGCATGAGGCACTGGGTTCAATCCTCAGCACCACACAAAAATAAAATATTGTGTCCACCTGCGACCAGCGAGGAACCGCCGCCCGGCATGCTGAGCCCAGACACCTCCCAGACACCTCCCCCACCACCTTAGGTGGGTGCCATCACGTCGGTCCGGGAGCCCTCCCTCACCACTGAGCACCGCCGCTGCCGCCACCAGCCCGAGCTGGCCCGGGAGACGCACCGCGGCTGCCTCAGCAGCGACTCAATCTATTTTTTTTTTTTGCATTTTCTAGAATTTTATTTTATTTTATTTTATTTTATTTTTAATTTTTTATTGTTGGCTGTTCAAAACATTACATAGTACTTGATATATCATATTTCACAATTTGATTCAAGTCAATCTATTTTTAAATATGCAAACTTTATTGATTTCTTTAAATATTTTTGTAGGTGATTAAATAGAGACAAGAAAGTTTATAGCCATAGACTGCTACACAACTCTTTATGTAAGTTATATGAAAGATGTGTATCTGGCAGTACCTTTCTATATAAATAGCTTTTTTTTTTAAATTTTTATTGTTGGTTGTTCAAAACATTACATAGTTCTTGACAAATCATATTTCACACTTTGATTCAAGTGGGTTATGAACTCCCATTTTTACCCCGTATACAGATTGCAGAATCACATCGGTTACACATCCACTGTTTTACATATTGTTATACTAGTGTCTGTTGTATTCTGCTGCCTTTCCTATCCTCTACTATAAATAGCTTTTTAAAAGAAACACTTCATTCTCATTATCAAAAGATCATACAACATAAATTAAAAGATTAGAAGTTTTTTTAAAGGAAACAAAGAAGTTACTACCATGGATAAATTTAAGGATTTTATTTCTCCAGATATTGTCTATACATATTTTTGCTATGTCTGTTTGTTTTTTGATATCAGGGATTTAACCTGGGGGCACTTAACCACTGAACCACATCCACAGCCCTTTTTATTTTTTTCTTTTGAGACAGGGCCTGGCTAAGTTGCTGAGGGCCTTGCTAAGTTGCTGAGGCTAGCTTTGAACTGGCAATCCTCCTGCCTCAACATCCCAAGTTGCTGGGGATGGCAGGAATGTGAAATTGTGCCTGCCTACTATGTCTATTTATATGCATAACTTTAGAATCCAAAATTAAGTTGAATTGATAGACTGTATTATAAATCTAACAATATAGGCATTTCATCAATATAGGATTTTCTCAATATTGTTTTGTTGGATATTTTAGATAATTACTGGTTGAAACCTATTTAGAAATAAAATATTATTATATTATTATTATTGAGGAAAGAATATTTTCTTTATTCACAAATGTCAAGATTGTCTATTAGAGCTGGGGGTGATGGTGCATACTTGTAATCCCAGCATTTTAGGAGGCTGAGGCAGGAGGATTGAGGGTTCAAAGCCAGCCTCAGCAAAAGCAAGGTGCTAAGCAACTCAGTGAGACCCTGTCTCTAAATAAAATACAAAAATGGGCTGGGGATGTGGCTCAGTGGTCGAATGTCCCTGAGTTCAATCCCCAGTGCCCCCCCACCAAAAAAAAAAAAGATTATCAGAAAATATATAGAAATTTGGCAAAGTTCCAATTTCCAAAGTTACTCATATCAAAAAGCAATTTGAGAATGTTTATCCTCAAACCTTAAAATACCATCTATAATAGCCTCAGCAAACAAACTATTAGGGAGAAATGTAACAAAAGATGTGCAAGATCTCACAATGAGTACCATAAAATATGGTAAGAGAAATTAAAGGAGATCAAAGTAAATGAACATAATAAGTACATGAGAAGATGCGTATCATTAGCTGACAAGAAAACGCAAATTAAATCACAATAAGATACCACTTCATACTTGCTAGAATGACTAAAATCAAACAGACTGACAAAACCACATGTTGGTGGGGACATAGAGCACCTAGAGTACTCGTACATAGCTGGCAGGACCAACTTGAAAAACAATGGCAGTTTATTATGAAGTTGAATGTACTTATTCTTTTTTTGCTTCCTTGCCTTTGTTGTTTTTTTTTTTTTTTTTCATATACTGGGGGTTGATCCCAAGGGCTCTCTATTACTGAGCTATATTGCAAGCCTTTTTATTTTGAGACAGTGCCTTGCTAAGTTGCTGAAGCTGACTTCAAACTTGCAATCCTCCTGCCTTAGTCCCCCGAGTTGCTGGGATTGCAGGCTGTGCCACCAGGCCTGGTTAATAGACCCCTATTCTATAACCAACAATTCTACTTCTTAGCATTCACATAGGAATTTAGATTGGAAAACATATGTCCATAAAAACGCTGGTATAAAAATGTCCAAAGCAGCTTAATTCATAATAGCTTCAAATGTGAAATCGCTCAAATGTCCCAGTGAGAGGTGAGTAAATACTTTGTGGTACAGTCATATAATGAAACACAATTAAGCAGAGATTAAAAAAAGAATGAGGTACTGATATGACAATATGGGTGAATCTCAAAATAATCAAATTTGAAAAAGCTAGAGAGAGTATACACCATACTATGGCATTTGCAGGAAGTTTTAGAACAGACAAAACTAGCCTTGTGATAAAATCAGAGGTGCCTGAGGTGGTAAGTAAGGAGGGATTCACTTCAAAAAGCTCAAAGAAACTTTCTGGATGATGGAAATGCTTTATACCTTGATGGGAATATTGGTTACATGGGTGCATACACATTTGTCCAAATTTATTGAACCAGTGTGATCTATATCAGTTTTGCATTAAAGTATTATGGCATTAAAGACATTCTTAATAAAAGATCATTCATAATAAAAGATCTTTCTTTTATTATATGAAATTATGCCCCAATAAGGTTCTTCCTTTCTTTCTTTTATTCAGTGCTAAAGATTGAACCCAGGGTCTCACACATGCTTAGCATTCACTTCACCACTGAGCTACAATTGCCAACAAGGTTTATTTTAATACAAAAGCATTTCAGTGTTCTTTTAGACCTTTTTTATTTATTTTGGATTTGGTGAGGGATACAAAAATTACTAATTCAATGGCTTTCAACTATCTGTAATTATGCACACAGCACATGCAAGTAATTTACTTTGAATCCTAAAGCATCAGTTCTAAGTTCATATATTACAATGAGAAAACTGGGCAACTATCCTGATTTCAAGTCCATTGTTCTTTCCACTAATAATATTGATGCCATAAAAATCTATACAGCAACTTACATCATTGCTATTAGATTGTTACTGTGTTCATAATAAGCAGTTAAGGTTAACATGTGAAACATTCCCTGAAAGAGTGACAGATTAGGAAATTACTATTTTGAAGTTCCTGATGAAGTAATGCATTCTAAATAATAATCACTGATGAAAGCTAAAATCATTACGTGAATGTTAGGGAAACATTGCAATATTAAAGCTCAAACTGACAAACTCCTAAATTCACCCATAAAGCATAACATATATTAGGTGGGAAACCCAGATTTTAGGGCCCTCCTGATATGATGGAATAAGAAACAGATAATACCATCAATGCCAAATTTAAAAAACTCCAAACCCCAAATTAATCAATAGTCTAATCAAGTTGATAGATCTAAATGCCAGTTTTCAGGAATTACTTGGGGATAGGATAGAGGAGAGAGATAACACAACAAAGATAGAGTTAGCAAGATCCCAAATGTGGGTAACTGCCCAAAACAAATGATGCAGTGTTTCTTTCACAAATAAGTGGCATTAAGAAACAAAAGAGGGGCTGGGAGTGTAGTTCAGTGGTACAGAGCATGCTGAGCATGTACAAGGCCCTGGATTTGATCCCCAGTACCAAAGAATTTAAAAAATTAAAAAGATAGAGGTAAAGGAAGAGGAATAAAAAAGGGAAAGAAGGAAGAACAATGAAGAGAAAATTGAGAAGAAGGGAAAAGGAAAGGGAGGGAAGAAATAAACTGTTAGTTATAAGTGAGATTTTCAGGGACATAGACAAATACAAAGTAGGGACCTTAGTTGGATATTGATTTGAACAAAAAGAAAAAGACATTTTTAAGATAAATGGGATAACCTTAACATGGTTTAGTTACTAAATGATATTTAAGTTTTATTGTTATTTTTGTTGGTAGTGATAATTTCATGGTTGTTCATTAAAAGTCCATATCTGATACAGATACAACATGAAATATTTATGAGTGAAATGATATATTGTCTTAGATTTGCTCTACTGCTTTAGAAGAAAACATGGGTAAAAGGGAGATAAAACAGAATTAGCAGGAAGTTGATCAGTGTTAAAAATAAATGACTGTATTATTCGATTTTCATGTGCATTTGAAATTTCTATGTATTCAAAGTTTGAAATTTTGTGTACTTTTTTAACATCTAAGAACTTGGGCTGGGGTGTATCTCAGTGGTAGAGTGTTTGTCTGGCATGAGGCTCTGGGTTCCATCTGCAGCACCACAAAAAAAAAAAAAAAAAACAACAAACAAACCCAAAATAAATAAATAAATTCCCAAGAATTGATATTCACATACCCCAGGTAATTAGAAACTAGAAAGAGACCGAGGCCATTTAAATGTGGTAACATTTGAATATGTCTTTCTTAAAGCAAGTATGCTACCTCCCTCCCTCAGAGACAAAAAGAAACTTTCATTCTAACAAAATTACCTCCCAGTGATATTTGCACCCCAGTGCTCACTGGAGTATTTAGATCCTACCAATGAAACACAGGAAAAGGAAATCATGCTTCTGGCACTGCTGTCAAGATTCTCATAGCTGATGGCAGCAGTGTGCTCAGCTCCAGATGGCCAAATATCTGCCAAGATTGTGC